GAACTGCAAGACAGCTGGACAGTCTCAGCTCTGCTCCGAAACCAAATGCTGCCTTCTTTCCTCAGGCAAGTTCATGCACACTCCTGAGCAGTGCCTTGTCTCCCCATCTCCAACAGCACTGTAAATAACTGGTTTTTCCACTGCATTTTTCCACTGTATGCTTACTCTGTATATTCCCGTTATCATGTTTCTTTGTCCTCCTTGTGCTTATATAGCATATGCTCCAAAGAAAATCACAATGCCAAACCATCAATTGTCTATTCTTAGTGTTTGCATCACTGCTCCTGGCACCTCTGCTTCACCTTGTTAAATTTCCTGTACATCCCATGCAAAAGACCAGAGCTGCTACTAAATTCTGTTCACATTATGTGCACAGTGCTCAACCTCAAAAACTCAAAGCACAGCAATCAACTATATTTCACTTTTCTCACAGTACAGTATTGCCTGGGTTTGTGAAGCTATTGGCGTTTGTGAGGTGTTTCTATAAACATGCTTTGATCTCTGAGTAACCTCCTGCTTTGGGTCTTTTTGTTCGTAACATTTTGTCAGTAACAGCATAAACTTCACTGCAGACCAAGTAATTTCCCCAGGAACCCCAGACAGTTTCTTTTCTCTCTGAACACTGTCTCACCTTTGGGTTTGCTCTCTACCCACAGCTTGGCAAGCACAAAGCTGGCTCTTCAGCCTTCTGAATTCTTAGCTCCTTTTCAGACTTTATCACTGAATCACAGAATGGTTGAGGTTGCAAGGAACCTCTAGTGATCATCGAGTCCAACCCCTCTGCTCCAGCAGAGACACCCAGAGCACGGGCCACAGGGCGGCATCCAGGCGGGTTGGGAAGATCTCCAGGGAAGGAGACTCCACAGCCTCCCTGGGCAGCCTGTGCCAGGGCTCTGTCACCCTCACAGGGAAGAAGTTCTTCCTCAAAGGCAATGAATGACACAGAATCCATAAAGGTCATACTATGTAAGACAGTCTGCACAGAGAAAGATGATGGCTTCTTCAGAGCTTATCTTTGAAAATACACAAACTTACGAACTGTTTTCAAAGAAGACATAAATAAATCACTCCCTTTTGCTACCACTTCGCTGTAATTCTCCAATATATTTTGCTTCTAAATCTACATACAGCTGCTGTGTTCTGCAGCTAGCAAATGGATAGGAATTGTGTTAGTCCCTCCTATGTTTGGCACCAGCTCACTTGGACACTCACCTCATCGCTGTGTCTATCTCTAGTCCTGCAGCTGCATATTAGGGAAATGCATTATTTACAACAAAAGAACCATGCCATTCAGCTATGTCTGTAGCATGTTTGAACACTGAAGCCAGAAAGAAGCATTAAAATGAAGAAAAAGTGTTGGCATGAGCCCTTTAAAAAATGATAGACTTATGCCTGCTGTATTCACCTTGAAAGACTGCACAGAGGCAAAAGCAGACCTTGAATTTTCTAAAAGTATACTCATTTTTTATTACAAGACATTATAAGATAGTATTTCTTAATATTTTTAAAAGATAAGACATCTCAATTGGCCAAAGAAAAATGAATATTTTACAGTAAGCTTTTGGTTTAGTTCATTTCACATTTTTGATTTTTTGATATTTTTCATTTTGATAGTTCTCAAATTATCACAAGGTTAATTCCTGCTAAAGTTCTTCCCCGAAACCACACAACCTTTCTTTGATATCTTCTAATAATGTACTTTTTTTTCCTAAACAATTCTTCTAAATCACAGATTTAAAGTTACACTTAGAATTCAATCCATTCTCTTAATTTCACAATTTTTTTTTTGAGTGTCTGGTATCTAGGCTACATTTCGAAAAAATAAATACATGGGCTCAACTTTACTCCAAATAGCTTGACCTTTTCACGTATGCCAATATAAATAATGCACAGGTAGCAACAGGATTAGGACCTGGTTCTGAAAGCTTTCAGTCTCATGGAATATTTTTCATTAACATTTTTCATATCAAAAATACTCCATCATATCTAATCCCATGATGAGGAAATCAGAACAATTCTAAACTCCTGCTAATATCAACAAAATTATTAACTAATGTATGATGGTAATTAGAGGTAGCAATAAGCAAGACAGAAGGTTGGAGGAATCTCCCACTACACACAAATTTGCTAAACTGTCTGTTAAGAAAGTTACCTCTTAATTTTAATCCAAATGTGTGTAATCTTTACTTAAATAACAAAGAGATGTAATCCCAAGATAATATTCTATGCAATAAGTTTTCTTGATTTAACAATGATCACAAGAAAGCAATTATCCTCAACTACATTGGTAGCCTTTCTAACTTAGCACAGCTATATACTCTTAAGATTTGCTTTGAATCAGCTGCTCAAAGTTTCTCTGTCCCAGTAATCAAGAATATTTTATAAGCAATTTTTTCCCCACAAAGAGGTTTCTATACCTCCCAAAGTTAGCTTTTATTTTTGAGTAGCTTTTATTAAATAGTAAAAATATTTAAATAAAAGTATAATTCTGCTTAAATCTCAAAACTACCTTCCTAGTTTCTACAACCCTAATGCTTTTGCATCGTGTTAAAAAAACTCAAAATAGAACAGCTTTCTCTTTGTTCTTTTTGAGTATGTTATAAACGTTATACTTCAGGCAGTTTTTCTGTCTTAGTAATGGTTTTATTTGTTATTGTTGTAATTCCCTTGCCATTTTTATGAACAGACGCAGGCTTCACAAGCGTGTCCTTTGGGGAGGCAGGAGTGTGTACATCCAGGTAAACGTGAAGGCGCACACCGCGTCAGCGGGACTCCAGCACACAAACCACTCACTCCTTGTTCCTGCCCTCTTGTTCTTCCATATAGAAAGCCCCAAGAAGCACTAATAAAAAATGTTACAAATCTAAAGGCAACCTCACTTTGTGATTGTTACATAGATTCTAGGATTGAAAGACCACAAAGGGAAATACTGAAATTCCATACATTCTGTTCCTGTATCAAAAATGCCCCTATCACGTTTCCGTACTCATATCTCAACTTGCCTAAACCCAGCCCACAAAGCTTTGTTTTAACATATTTTAGTGAATTACAATACAAGCCATTGTTTAAATTGAATAAAATGGAAGTCCTCATAAAATAATTAGTGCACAGGGTAAATATCAGAGCACTACTCAAACATTTAATTAGAGGAAATGTACTGCCAGTGACTGCCCAGCGTTTGCTCTTTCTTATTTACTCTTTTCCAGGGGTTAGAACTACAGATAATAATCTCCTTAAGGACAGGATTTGATATCTGCCTGGAAAGTACTATACATATAATTTGAAACAATTTAAAGAATTATCCTACGAGAATAAATTGTAATAGCACTTCCCATGTACCTTTTAATGGGTTTCATTTACTGAAACAAGAAGAAAAATATGACAGCATTTTGAACAACAAGCTCGGTCATTATACTTTCAGGTTCATTGTGCACAACATTTAAAAAAAAAAAAAAAAAAAAAAAAAAGCTTTAAAGAACTGCGAGTGACATGAAAACTTATTTTCTGCCAGTGGCTAGACTCTGCAATATCCTTCAGGGACCGAAAATAAAGCAGCTTGAGACTGTATGCTACCATGAGCCTACCTGACACAGGACAAATTGTTTTATCCTTTTTCATTACTGATCATAAATTTCTATGCTTGAGTCCAACTGCCATGAAATGCCCTAAAATAAGCATTGGGATTTGGAGCGAAAAGGGAAAGATTCAGAAGTTCTTAGTGACTTAGATTGCTTAAAGGAAAGAAAAAATCAAGACAACACAACATTTATGTGTGGCAACATACAGAAGATGAGTCCTACACCAGAGGAGTGTTGCTTAAGTTGGTCTGAAATATCTAAGAAAAGAGTAGAGAAATACTGATACAATGTGTGATTACTGGTAATTGCATTACCTTTGTATTCTTCAGTCAAAACTCAGAATTTTTGTGGGAAAATACCTTACTTGCAGCTAAATTTCCTGCATGCCTACCCGTAACAAATTTTGGGGGGGAGGCAGGGAGGGGTGAAGGAGGAAGGGCATAAGGGTAAGAGGTTATAAATAAGACATTCTTGGGCTTGAGGCTGATCACACTTTTAAGTATAAAGTTGCCTAAATACTAGCTCTCTCACTTAAAAAGCTTCATGCCCTTCTCTACTACGGATGTTAGTGAGGCGCCTCTTAATTAATGTTAGCATAACTGAAATGAAAGGCAAACATCAATCTCTAGCTCAGGAATGAAAAGCAAGTATTCACTTGGACCAATTTCCTTCTTCATCTTCCAACTTTGCTCCCCATTAAAATCCAGCTTTGAGCATCACAGCAAAACTATGTTAAAACTGTAAATATCAAGAGTATATTGCTCTGCATGTAGTTTCCTACCAGTAAGAACTTATCTTGAACATTTCTGCACAGCATTGCATACTTTCACAAAACCTGGATAACAAAACAATTCTTCTTACAGTCTCAGTTTGCAATTCATTTGCTATCATCAATGCATTTTACATAATAGATGAAGGAGATTTTAAAAGTTGATTAAGAGAGACTAAGCAGGAAAAGACTGTATCCCTAAACCTATTACAATATTGATAAAAAACTGGTTGGGGAATAATTCTATTAAATATTTTGTGTACTGATCTCTGAGCCTTAACACAGAAAGGTAAATGAATGTAGAGTGCTAAAGTGATAATAAACTACCACATATATATTCTCCTCCTCTAAGTATGAATTCCCTATTCCCTGCACAAACTTGCATCTGATATGCAACAATGCTCTATTTTCACTCAGAATGAGCACAGGCTATCACTGAGCCAGGTCTAAGCTCTGCAAGGACACTGAGGTTTCCAGAGCACGGCTCAACTGTGCTCCTGTGACAGTGCAACAGCACTAAAACCAAGGATGACATGTTAGGAGAAGGGAAGAGATGGCTCATCCTCCTCACATAGCTGCTCTGCTGTGATTGACTCTGCTTAAAAATGTTTAAAATTAAAGCACACAAAGTTTTTCAGCTGACAGCTACATACCTGCCACTCTGGTCTGTAGTCCACGTAACAGATCGTCCCTCTGGTTTGGTTCTGTATCGTACTCTTATGGCATGAGGAAAGTCTTTTGGAGCATGAATCCCTGGCTTCCTTATCTCCAGGCTCCAGGGGCCAGTGGCAAAGGGAAGCTCTCCACACGCAGGTGCGTGGCTGCAGCGCCGGTAGCAGCACAGCTGTTCCTGCCACCGATGCGCAGGTAAAGTCACAAGTTCATGCACGATCCGATTCTGGAGATCTCCCAGCTCTTCAGAAGCATCTCTTACTTTGGCAGACCCCGTAAATTTTTCAGCATCAGCCACCACAGCAACATCGACCTCTTCAACCTTTAGCACGGATAAATCACAGCAGTCCAGCACCAGCAAAAACCCGGTGCTCCCAGGATCCTCCGTGTCACAGCAGCTCTTCAGACCAGGAATCCCAGAAGCCTGTTCCCCGTTGCTATGGTTACCATTTTTATCAGAAGTATCTTTTTCACCTCTGTCAGAGGCGGCACAATCATTATCTTCTGCTTCAGATGAGCAGGCACTTGGACCTGTCACGGGGACGTGGCAGGGCTCAGGTGCCCCCATTTTGCAGGTTTCATCAGGCCGTGAATGGCAGCCGCCCTCGTCAGCGCTGCTGCTGTTCCTGTACCTGCTCCCCGTCTCAAGGAAGAAAACGATGGTGCCCTCAATACTCTGACTTTCTATGTCTACATCCAAGTCTAACGTATAGTGTTTTACAAGCATGTGGCTAGTGTTGGCCATTAGAGGCAAGTCATCCTTCATGGGGTCCAGCTGCTTCTCCATGATCCAGTTTGCGAGGCAACTGTTTCACAAATTATTAGTCATTTCTTACACAAAGTGTTTCAAGGAAGTAAAAAGATATCCAGGCTTGCAGTGCCAAAACTAACTTCTGGCAAATGCTACATTATTGAAGTTAATTGGAGTTTTTCCATGTCTCTCTTATTCTGTAAAGGAGAAAAAAAAAAAAAGCATCCTTTGACAAGAGTTTTAGAATGGATGTATCAAAAAGTTAGAGCAGAGTTGTTTCTACTAAAAGTAGAATTGCCACAGTTGGATTTTCTCCTCCATCTCCATAGCATGGAATCAAGCTAGTTCCTCCAAGATCTCCTATCAAGAACCACTAGCTTTATTTTTTCACAGAAGATCTCATGCAAATGTTTCTTTTTTAAATGAAAGAAAGAAGTTTTAACTATAATGTCTCCCACTGACACTTGTCTAGTCAAGCAAACCTGTAGAAACTATACACTGCTATGCAATATCAAATTTATTACTACATGGCTTATAGATACTAAATTTATACTTCAAATTTGTTACTTCAAAAACTGATGATTATTTTTCTACTGTGATTCCAAGTAACAAGAATGAGTCCAAATTGCCCCATGTGTCTTAAACTTTGAAAGTAGCAATTTCATACATACAATATAACTCCAGGGATTAATATACTTTTCACATTACAACTGCTCTCATATCAGCACTTCTAGTAAATTACAAGACAATGAGCCGATTTACTATGAGTGCATTCTAAATATTCCTTTGAGATTGCTCATGGAGATTTTTCAAATCTATAGTTAAATACTTCAGGTATATCACTACATCTTAATAGCCGGAAACCCATTAACACTGTGGATAACATCTTCTTACAGCAAACAAAAGGTCTTCTCACTGGAAAGGAAAATGCGCAAATATCTATAAAAGTGAGAAAATATTAAAATACATCAACATCTGTTGCAACAATAGCCAGAAGTCCATCACAGAAGTTTCTAACTTTCATGCATTCTCTGTTTAGTTACGACTGTCAAGCTAAAATTACGTGCTTTAGCTTGCTAATTGCCATTCTGGCTGCTTTCTGGAGTTAAAGAAAAGGAAGCTGGAAGGGACCGTTAAGACCTGCAGCTCCTTCTCTGTCAGTTCAGAGATGCATCCATGTCATACACACAAGTCTGTTTAAGCATTGTAAGTGACCAGATGTTCTTTTGGTGAAAACGTTTCACAGCTGTGTCATGCACCTCAACAGCGGAATCATCCTGCACAGAGCTCCCAATGTCAACACAAGAGAGTTCAGTCTTCCCCAAAGATTGCTATTGCTTCTGTAAGAATCAGTCCCACGGGGATACCACTGTTACACTAGCATCAGTGACAGAAGGGCTCCTACCAACAAACAAACAAACAACCCCCCCAAAGCTATTATGTTCCCTGAACTCACAGATTCACAGATTCACAGAATATTTAAGTTTGGAAGGGACCTCTACAGATCATCTAGTCCAACCTTCCTGCTCAAGCAGGCACACCTAGAGCATGTGGCACAGGGTGGCATCCAGGCGGGTTTTGAAGACCTCCAGAGTAGGAGACTCCACAACCTCCCTGGGCAGCCTGTTCCACTGCTCTGTCACCCTCACAGTAAAGAAGTTGCTCCTCACCTGGAGACGGAACTTCTTGTGCTCCAGCTTGTGGCCATTACCCCTCGTCCTGTCGCTGGCCACCAGTGAGAACAGCTTGTCCCCTTCCTCCCTGCATTCTCCCTTCCTGAACTTATACATATTAATCATATCCCCTCTCAGCCTTCTCTTCTCCAGAGAAAACAGGCCCAGCTCACTCAGCCTCTCTTCATACGAGAGATGTTCCATTCCCTTAATCATCCTGGTTGCCCTTCTCTGGACCCTCTCTAGCAGCTCCACGTCCCTCTTGTCCTGGGGAGCCCAGAACTGCCCCCAGTGCTCCAGGTGCGGCCTCCCCAGAGCTGAGCAGAGGGGCAGGATCCCCTCCCTCCACCTGCTGCCAACATCCTCCTGATGCAGCCAGGAGCCCATTGGCCTTCTTGGCCACGAGGGCACTGCTGCCTCATGGCTAACTTGGTGTCCACCAGGACTCCCAGGTCCCTCTCCGTGGAGGTGCTCTCCAGCAGGTCAAGCCCTAATCTGTCCTGGTGCCTGGGGTTATTCCTCCCCAGGTGCAGGACCCTGCACTTGTCCTTGATGAACCTCATGAGGTTCCTCTCCAGCCTGTCCAGGTCCCTCTGGATGGCAGCACAGCCCTCCGGAGTGTCGGCCACTCCACCCAGCTTGGTGTCATCCACAAACTTGCTCAGGGTGCACTCCGTGCCCTCGTCCAGGTCATTGATAAACAAGTTGAACAGCACTGGGCCCAGCACTGACCCCTGGGGACACCACTGGCCACAGGCCTCCAACTGGACTCGGCCCCATTTATCACCACCCTCTGAGCTCTGCCATCCAGCCAGCCCTCGATCCACCGCACCGTGCACTCGTCTAGTCCACTCTCCCGGAGCTTCCGTATGAGGATGTTATGGGAGACAGTGTCAAAAGCCTTGCTGAAGTCAAGGTAGACAACATCCACGGCTCTCCCCTCGTCCAGCCAGCCTGTCACCCCATCATGGAAGGCTATGAGGTTCGTCAGACATGACTTCCCCTTGGTGAATCCATGCTGACTGCTCCTCAGCAGCTTCTTCTCCTCCATATGCCTGGAGATTCTCTCTAGGATGAACTGCTCCATCACCTTTCCAGGGACAGAGGTGAGGCTGACCGGCCTGTAATTGCCCGGCTCCTCCCTCTTGCCCATTTTGAAGACTGGAGTGACATTGGCTCTCTTCCAGTCCTCGGGCACCTCCCCTGCTCTCCAGGACCTCTCAAAGATGATGGAGAGAGGCTGAGCAAAACTCCAGACAAAGCACACAACATTGCAAGTCTCTCTCTTCCTCAGTGGATTTCTGTCACTTAGATAAACATCTCATGGGGATGTTGTTGAAGATGAGTTGACGAAAACACTTTATTTCATTTTGACATAAGTCGCCTTGCACTAAGGAACACCAGTAAAACTGTCTGGGACACACGGCTCACTTCAGAAGTCTGTTACTCAAATATCCCAGTAAACTCCAAACACTCTGATGAACACTTACTTTTTTTTTTTTTTTTTTTAATATTTCTAGTAGATACTTCTCTATCCATATAAGAAGTTTTCCAATATTGTTTTTTTTCTGATCTTAAGCATCTTACTATTCAGTGTATCTGCTTGTTATTTCAAGTGCTTTCAAATTTCATATATCCGTGAAACACTTAGCAGTTTCCACTGCCCTGATATACACATCTGTGTGTACTTTCAGAAGGCAATTTTGCTCAGGATCCACCCTGAAATGCAAATGCACATTCTACCCTAATAGCATAACAGTGATTGCTTCCTATTTAAATAAGACTTTTAACACTTAAAACGTGGAGTAAAAGATTTAGGAACACAAATGCAGACTAAAATACTGAGGAAGAGTTGTAGCAATAACTCAGCAAAGATATTGCAAACGTCAAGCTGGTGGATGCACAACATCTGAAGTATCACATAGCAATTACAATGACTTACCCTTGAAACCTAACTGGGAATAGTAGAACAACTAAAGGTTTCCAGTGCTGTGCCGGGAGCACAGCACTACATCTGTGACACTTGTGCTTAATGCCACATATCCATATTTTCATCCTTTCCCATATCCATATCTTCACTCTTGCCACCAAACCTTATGCTTCTGACAGGTTAACTGTATTTGTTGTAGAGGAAGGAAACAAAGATTGGAAAAAACAAAGAAAAAAAATAATGAAGTTGCATTCAAGAAATTCTGATCTGCACAGATACCTGAAACAGGCTGATAACAGGTTTAATACTGATACTGACTTTATAAAATACCAGTACTATAGTTAAAATAAATAAACAAATGCTTGGATGCAATCCCGTACTAAATGCCCTAGGTGATCCTGCATGTGCAGGGGTGTTGGACTAGAAGATCTCTAGAGATCCCTTCCAACCTTAAGGATTCTGTGATTCTTAGAGTATGAAGCCAAACACCAAACACTTCTATCCCTGTTTTTTTTCAGGTTTTCAGATGGAAGGTCTGATTCATTTCTTGCTCTTTATCGCCTCAATAGTATTAAGCTCATTACATCAAATTTCATTCAAATCTCTGCTACCTTAAGAAACACCTCCGAACACCTTAAAATAAATAGCGAAATTGCAACAAAATGCCTACAAAACAGCATTAGGTTTCGATTTAGATGTCTGCCAGATTAAATAATGTTAATTAACAGGACAGATTAAAGTGACAAACAGTATCATTCCAGTAAACTCAGTCTAAATTGAAAAAGCAATTAATTGAAGTATTATCAAAAATTTAAATTCTATAAATATAAATACATTTTAAAACAACACAAAACTATGAAATTTGTGACATTCAAGAGGCAGTTGGTAACAAACAACCGCTATTCTAATGAGACTTAAAAATACAAGGCAAGACAATGATTTTCTGTAGCTGAAAGTTTCAGGTCAACTTTTTATTAAAATTAGCACATCTGATCACAGGTTTAGGATTAGACCAACTGATACAGGGAACACACTTGTAGACAAGAAACAACTATTTCTGCATACACTTTGATACTGAATTTTAAAAGAAAAGTAATCCTGTGTGTTTAAGCTTTTCTATCCCTTATCTCCTTAGTTTTGATATCTCAGATTTCAAAAACTCTACTGAGCATTTTAAGATCCTTCTCCATCTCCAAGCATGAGTAACTAAAGGGCACATTTTCAAGTACCTTGACTTCTGAATCTCTGTGGAAATTTTTTCATTAAATACTTTGAAGGAGTCTACACTACATCAGAACACTACGAAAAAGAAGGAGGCATGTTACTCTGTTCTGAGAGCTCACTACTTGTTTCAATAGGTCCATATTGATATTTCATTATCAAAAAGCTCTGTGTATGATAATTTTACTTGCCAGTAAAGCATCACATTTGGGAATCACATTCTGTGAAGTAATGTGGTAAGCAAAAGAAGGGAAGTAATTAAGTAAAGATGGTCATGAGTACAGTTTTGAGCAGGAAAGAAACTTAATTTTAAGGTTTTAAGGCAAGATAAATGTACATGCTTTTAATTTA